GTTTGCCCCCTCGCGGGGACCAACACAACGCGCCCCGGCCCGGGGTCCCTCCGGTTTTTGCCTTTACCCCCCCCCCAAAGGTAAGGGGACCCGGAAGCCCCCCCCCGGGGGGGGGGGGGGAGAAGGGGGGGGGGCGTGCTGAGCAGCCGGACCTCACGCCTCTGGGCTTCCTTCCTCTGCAGTTTCAACGAGGTGAGCAAGCTCTTCACGCAGATCCTCCGGGTCAAGGACCGAGACGACTTCCCCATCGTGTTGGTCGGGAACAAGGCGGACCTGGAGGCGCAGCGCCAGGTCCGAGGCGCCCGGGGATCCCCCCGTCTCAGCCTGGGAGGGTGGCACACCCCCCTGTCTCTCTTCACATCGGCACCCTCCTCTGGCCCGTGTGATGCTGCCCCCTCCACTGTCACACACGTCCCTGGATGTGTCGCCCCCCCAAGCCGGCCGCTCCGAGTCCCCGGCATTGCACCCAGGGGTTCCCGGGAGAGGTGTCTGGTCCCCAAGCCCTGATTCTGCTCCCCCCCCCCCCCCCCGCTCTTGTTCTCTTGTTCCCACCGGGGACCTCTGCACCAGCCTCCATTTCTCCCTTCTGATCCACCTCCCACTGGGTCCCGCCACCCCTTGCCCCTCGCCCCCCGCCTGCTCCCAGCCCTCCGTGGCTCCCCATTGGCCCCGGGGGTGGGGGGGGACCAGCTCTTCCACCTGGCCCTGGGTGCCCGCCATGGTCTCGCCCTTCCTTTCTCTGCTCCCACCACTTCCCTCTGCCAGGGGATTGCACGCAGAGCACAGCTTTAGAGAAAGCCTTCGGGGATTTCCAGCCTTGGCTGCAGGGCTCAGGCCTCTGCTGGGAACACCCCACTTCTTTGCCCGATGAACTGCCACCTCACTTGCCGGAGGGCAGACCTCTCCGCTCCTCAGATGGCGCCCAGCCCCCTCGGTGTCCCCCATCTGATCTCTGGAACTTTCCATTGGAGCCCCCAGCCCAGCGTGTGTGACGCCTCCCCACCCCCCCGATTCCAGCGCACAGTGTGTCTGTCCTTCCGCCCCGTCCTGGGTGCAGGGACCTGAGTCTCCCCTGTGTCTCCCCCCTCCCCCCCCAGGTGCCCCGATCTGAAGCCAACACCTTCAGCGCCTCCCACCACGTGGCCTACTTCGAGGCCTCGGCCAAACTGCGCCTCAACGTGGACGAGGCCTTCGAGCAGCTGGTGCGGGCTGTCCGGTGAGTGGAGCCCCCCCCCCCCCGCCCCCACCTCGTCTTCTGTCCCCAACCCCTGGGGCCCAAACTCACCAGCCTCTTCCCACAGGAAGTACCAGGAGCAGGAGCTGCCGCCCAGCCCGCCCAGCGCCCCCAGGAAGAAGGCCAGGGGCTGCCCCTGCGTCGTCCTGTAGAGGAGCCAGCGCAAGCTCCAGGGACCAGCTGCCTTTCCCCATCGGGGTCTCCCAGGCCACACTACACCCCCACCCACGACCCCTGGCCTGCGGCCACTGCCACCGCGTGCCTCTGCCAATGCCTCCTCCCCCCACCCGGGGCCCTGGTGGGGGCGAGGGGCTCCCGGGCCTCCGTCCGGGTCACTGCTGTATATAACCCCGCCCCAGAGAAATAAACGTCACTGCCAGTGTCAGGAGGTGCTTGTGTGGGAGGGGAAAGGGCCAGAGGAGGTCGGTGAACTGAGGGCAGGCACAGGAAAGCCTCGGCCCACCTAGAACCATCGGATCTAGAACCCCGTGTTGGTGGGGGCAGGGCCATCGAGAACGAGGTGGGCCAGCTGTCTGGACCCCACTTACCCTGCAACAGGCCACTCCACCCTTTCCTGTGTCTGCGGGCATTTGCTGGGATGAGGTTTAACGTTTGAAAAAGAATTGTTTTCCTGGAACATTCTAAAAGGACACTGTTCAATATGGTAGCCAGAAGCTGCATGCGACTATTTATTACTAGAGGCCCAGTGCATGAAATTCGTGCACAGGTGGGGTCCCTAGTGACTGCTGGCCAGGGCCTTCCTTCATTCTGCACCGCCCCCTGGTGGTCAGTGCACATCATAGAGAGCGATCGAACTCCCGGTTGGTTGAACTCCTGAGGGGACACTTTGCATATTAGGCTTTTATATATATAGATTTTTTTTCCCATTGATCCTAGAGAGGGAGAGGAACATGGACCTGTTGTCCCACCCATCCATGCACCCACCAGTTTCCTGCATGGGCCCTGACTGGGGATCGAACCCGCAGCCCTGGTGGGATCAGCATGACGCTCCAACCAACGGAGCGACTTGGCCAGGGCCAGGGCGTGTGACTGTCCTCGGTCACCCTGGCCACATTTCAAGGGCCCGTTCATTCTTCCCATGTGGCTAGTGGCTACTGGCTACCCCAATGTAAATATGCAAATCCCCACCACCCCAGAGAGGCCCATTGGTGTTCTAGAAAGTTCCAGACTTTGGAGACAGGCAGCAGCCGCTACAAACCCCGCCCGCCCCCTCCCACCTCCGATGTATGTTTGCGAGGGCTTCTGGCCGGAGAAGGAGACGGGGACAGGTGGACGGAATGGTGTCCGAGCAGCCAGCTGGCAAGTTCTCAGTTTCAGAAAGTTCCCAACTGGGTGGGCTGACGTCCGAGTCTGAAACCCCGAGTCCGACTTCGGGCTGGTGTGGACACACCCCATCTGGGCCTCTCTCCTGGGAGGGGCTGAAGTGCCGGGTATCTCAAGGCCGCCAGACATAAGTTGCTAGGACTCTTCCGTGTGCAAACGTTTGGTTCCCCAACATTCAATCCAGGACCCCCGAATTCCGCGCTCTATTTGCTGATCTAGAAGGCTGAGCCCACCACTCACCCATCTCCCAAGCCCACTGGACAGGCGTCTTTGAACCCCAATACCGACTCAACACACCAGGCCAGAACCCCACCCCCGATGTCCCCAGGCCTGAACTTTGACCTCCACCTGATGAGCTGTCACCAGTCACTGACCTGTGGCCCCTCCCTCCCCACATCTCAGCGTCCACAGAATCCCGGCTGGAAGTGCTCCGCTCACACCCACCCAGAACCCGCTTTTCCTGGGCCTGGGGTAGCGATGGTCCCGCAGGGCCCTGGCAGCGGGCTGCCTGGGTTCGAACCCCGCTCCGCCACCTCGGTCGGGGTACCCTGCGATGTGGTGACCACAGAGCCACTCCCCAGGGCAAGAGGCACACAGGCGCAAGCACGGTGCCCGGGGCATCCTCAGTGCTGTGCGCTCCGGCCCCAGCCCCATGAATGTCCCTCTGTGCTCCAGATCAGAACAACGATTAGCCGACGATCCCTTTCCGGGTTTCATTATCACAGAATCCTTGGCACGAGTTCCACCTTCCGCCCTGGGAATAACCCTGGCTCCGACGTATTGTCCCGCCAGTTCGTTCCCCCTCCCCCAGAACCTCTGCTCAGTGAGGCCCACCTCTGGGGGGACAGACGGGGAGGGACCGGTGTGTGGTGGGGGGGGGGATGTTTCTAGCAGTTTCCAGATAAGACCCGACACCCCCACCCAAGTCCCAGCCGGGGCTGAGGCACGCCCCCAGCACAAGGTCAGCCTAACAGGGCCAAGTCCTTGGCCGGGACACCCTGCCTCTGGGAGGACCCAGATGCACTTAGAGAAGCTTGATGAAAGCTCCCGTTTGCCCCCAGAACAAGGCGCACATACAAACCCGCACGACAACTGGCAGGCCATTTTTGGAAGGTTCGCAGCCACCAACCACCATTCCAGGCTCATCCGACAACCGCCAGAGGCTGGGATGACCTAGTTGGCATCTGCCTAAGGCACATGTGTGCACCCGTGAGCCTCTCCTCTCTGGTTCCTGCCTCCCCCGGGGCTCTGGCGGGCCCTGTCAGGGATGGCCTCTCTGGGTTCTTTCTCCACCTTTTGTCAGCCTCTCTCTCAGTCCTTCTCGCCAGCTCTTGGACCCCCCACCAACCCCTTGAGGCCTCCTGCCGAGGGGAACAGCAGCTCAGCGCTTGCAGTGCCCAGTGCCTCACGCGGGTTTCCTTCATCTCGCCGAAAGCCCATTTTACAGATCACAAGACTGAGGACCGGAGGCTCTGCTCCACCTGGTCCAGCTAGTGCGAGAGCTGGGATTCAGTCGGAACAATGGAATGTCAAAGGCCAACCAACCACAAGGTTATTCTAACCCCAACGCCCACCCACCCACCTTCTGACCACTCCAGCCACTTCCTAGGACAGAGCTCTGTCCTGGGACAACGCTGATCCTGGGAGACTTTGGTCCCAATTTGGCATCCATTCCATCCAGAACCTTGAATGTACCGCTCCCTCTGGGGCTATACGCTCAGCATCCCACGGTTTGAGTCCATTCTCAATGCTCTTAACTGATTAAGATGATTCTAGAAAGTCCACGGCCCATCACGAATTCCCATTATGTCCCCAAGTGTTTCTAGCCATTCTGTACAACCAGCAATAACAGTGGCGATGGTCTAGACCAGTGGTCGGCAAACTCATTAGTCAACAGAGCCAAATATCAACAGGACAACGACTGAAATCTCTTTTGAGAGCCAAATTTTTTAAACTTAAACTATATAGGTAGGTACGTTGTTATTAACTTAATTAGGGTCCTCCTAAGGCTTAGGAAGAGCCACACTCAAGGGGCCAAAGAGCCGCATGTGGCTCGCGAGCCGCAGTTTGCCGACCACGGTCCTAGAGCATCAAGAGTCTATCTTGGTTGACACGTGTCCAGGCTCTGGAATGGCTGACTCACTGCTTTATAGGCCGGGTTCTAGAATACTCCCAGCTGAACTCCGGGGTTCAAGTTCTTGTCCGAGAACGTTGCTCCTCAACCTTGGATGCGCATCTGAATCCTCCCAGGAGCTTACTAAAAAGTTGGTTCTGTGCCCTAACCGGTTCGGCTCAGTGGATAGAGCGTCAGCCTGTGGACTGAGAGGTCCCGGGTTCGATTCCGGTCAGGGGCATGTACCTGGGTTGCGGGCACATCCCCAGTACGGGGTGTGCAGGAGGCAGCTGATCGATGTTTCTAACTCTCTATCCCTCTCCCTTCCTCTCTGTAAAAAATCAATAAAATATATTTAAAAAAAAAAAAGTTGGTTCTGTGCCTGGCCGGTGTGGCTCAGTGGTTGAATGTCAACCTATGAACCAGGAGGTCAGTTGGATTCCCGGTCAGGGCATAAGCCTCAGTTGCGGATCGATCCCCAGTGTGGGGTGTGCAGGAGGCAGCCGATCAATGATTCTCTCTCATCATTGATGTTTCTATCTCTCTCCCTTCCTCTTTGAAATCAGTAAAAAAAATAACAAAACAAACAAAACCAACCTCATGGCTTGCTCTGTGAAGACGCTCAAGCTGCCCTATGGGAGGGCGAGGTCCATGTGGCAAAGACCTGAGGCCAAGAGCCATGCAAATGAGCCACCTTAAAAATAGATCCTGAAACTCCCGCCAAATCCTTGAGGACGGCCGCCCCGAGTCCCACCTTCCGCCCTGGGAATAAGATGGCTCAGACGTATTGTCCCAGGGTTCCTCCTCCCTCCCCCAGAACCTCGGCCCACTGGCTGATGACCCGATGGCACCCCGGTGGTGACAGAGCGAGGCCGGCACCACCCAGGTAACCCACTCCCCGATCCCTGATCCTCAGAAACCATACAAGGATGCTTCTTGTTTTAAGTCACTAAATTTTGGGGTGGGGCTCTTTGTTACACAGCGAGACATAGCAGATACATGGTGCCCGGCGCACCACCACCCGGGGCTCCAGAAAAGCCACACTCCCGTTCCGGACCCTCTGCCCGTGCCACCCCAGGGCCGCCGCCCAGACGCCGCAGGACAGAGCCACTCCAGCCGGACCACCAAGTGTTTGCCGTCGGGTTTTCGTTTGGCTGGTTGTGTGTACACAGTGTATACAAGTTGAGTTGTACAGAAGCCCAAGAAAGAGCAAGAGACAACGGGTGGAGGGGAGGTGGGAGCGGAGGGGTCAGAGAGAGGGAAGAGGGGAGGGGAGACCGATAAAAAATAGAACCACATCCAGACAACAATGGGATGGGGGTGGTGTGTGCTGGGGGTGGGGGAGACACAGACAAATCGCAGTAGAAAAGGAGTGGGAGGGGCAAAAGGAGGGGACCCTCTCCCCCCTCCACCTCCCCAGCCCCCGCCCCAGGTATGTACAATAAATAAGATTAAAAATAATTAACAAGATGCGTTTTCCCCCTCCCACTGGACACCGAAAGCCCTGGGGAGGGAATGGCCTTTAGCAAAGATCTTGGCCTGTAACGGGGGGCGCTTGGGGGTCAGTGGGTCCCCCAGCTCTCTAAAGCGGCCCCACCCCCCTCAACCATACATAGATTTTTCCTATACATTATGTACAAGGTGGAGGGGGTGAGGGCTATGGCCATGGAGGGGGGAATGGGGCGAGGGGGGGAGGGGAAACCGTTACTAAATAGACATTTATACATATATATAAATAATTTCTCTGTACACCGGACAGTGGGAGGGGCGGGGAGGGAGTGGAGAGGGCTGGGGAGAGAGGGGAGTCGAACTCTGAACCCTGCCCCGTAGGGACAGCACGGACACACCCTGACCAGTGACCCTCCCTGTTCCCTGGCCACAGGGCCTAGGGGTTAGCGCCTGAGGACACAGTTCTGTCCCAATTCTTGGTTCCAGGAGGAGGCGCCCCGCCCCCCACAGGAGGTGGGGTCACCCGCAGCGGCTGTGGGCCTGCGCTTGGGCCAGCAGGTCGCTGAAGGAGTCGAAGAGCTGCTCCAGCCACGGCTGGTTCCGCATGCACTGCTGCACCACCTCCTCCTGGCCCAGGTCCTCGGCGCCGCCCTCGATGGCCAGGGTCTGCGGGGTTTAAACACGGAGCTGGGGCAGGCGGCCACCAGGGCCTGGGGTGGGAGGAGGCGGGGGTCTAGGGATCTGTGTCCAGGAAGAAGAGGCTGGGAGCTGGACCCCTGGGTCCGAGGGAGGAGGGGCTGGGGGCCTGGACGCCTGGGTCTGAGGGAGGAGGGGCTGGGGGCCTGGACCCCTGGGTCTGAGGGAGGAGGGGCTGGGGCCAGGCCCTGGGTCTGAGGGAGTAGGGGCTGGGGGCCTGGACCCCTGGGTCTGAGGAAGGAGGGTCTGGGGGCCTGAACTCCTGGTGCCTGAGGGGTGAGGAATTCGAGGTCTGGACTCCTGGGTCTAATCAGGAGGGACAGTGAGGTGAGCCTCTGGGTCCCAGGTAGGTGCGGCTGACGTCCTGAACCCCTGGCTCTGACCAAAGACGCTCTTGGTTCATGGGATCATGAATCTGCGCGATGAAGGGATGAAGGCCTGACTCCCATGTCTCTATTGAGAAATTGTGTTGTCGTAGACCCCTGCATCAGCGACGGCGATGAGTGTGAGCTGGACGCTGTTGCTTCAACTGATTCGGGGATGTCGGGTCCTTGACCCGCGGGTTAGAAGGGAGG